AATGGTACCACTTTGTTAAAAACAACGTTTTGCTGGCAAAGCTGTCGATGTCTTCCACGGAAGGAATGGATAAATCTTGTGTTATTAGCGTTCCGTTGATTTTCGGAAGAACGTCTCGCAGCAAGTGTTCCTTCCGTCTGCGTTCACTGTCTGCTCGTCAAAGAAACCGTATCTGCTATCGGGGACCGAAAAAGTAGGAATGTGCCGAATATGCGGAAGCTGGATGATTTTGACCGTACGCACTTGCTGCAGCTGCGGCCTGATAGCTGTTGTAGGGATTATTGTAGGCAGCAGCAGCAGCGCCGCTATCCAGCATCTGCTGATAGTACTGGTGACTGCTGTAGATGTAGGAATTCAGGTCTGAATGGTGAGGATATGCTGGAGGAAGCGCCATCTGGTGCAACGAGAGTGGTGCTGTCGATGATGGTGATAGCGTTGATGAAGCTGATGAGAAATGGGGTGTCTGCAACATGACATTTTCTGTAAAAATGAACAAAAATCTGCGAACGGACCTGATTTTTTTGTACATGTAAATTCTCAAATAACTTACTTTATATTTCTATAAAAATGAATAATACTGATCAAATTCCCTTATATTTACATCCTTTTAAAATAATTTAAATTCTCTGCAAAGTCATGCAGTGATTTATTTCCTGTGACACGTTACAAACCCCTTACGCGCAGAGAATAACCAGCACAAATTTGAAAAATGAAATGTGAGACAAAAAAAAAAAAAACCATACGAAGAAACACAACTATCCTTGCACAAGTTGGTTTAAACGAGTTACTACCCGATATTTCCCGAAATCCGTGAAGTGGTACCATCCTGACCTCCTTTGATCTTAGTATGAAGTGGTTCCATTCCAACTTATTTGGGAATATCATGGTGGTACCACGGAACGGCACTATCTTCATAAAGTTGTCCTTCAAGTGTGTAACTGGCAAGTTTTCCAGTTCCTTTAATTACTGCTGCGTAGCCTGGTACACCTGTAATTTCGAACAAAGCCAAACATGGGCTAAGCTTTCCTCGCTAAAATTCGAACTATTTGGCCCAAGGTATCGTCGGAATTGGATTTTTAGGTTTCAGAATTTTCCCCCTTCAAGCATTAAAAACTGCCTATAGTATACAGAAACATTCATGTCCGACTTACCGGATTTTCAGCACTGTTTGGCCAAGAATTCTCGGTCACCACTGCATTCCTTGACGGTGAGCGATTTGTACTGCCCTGTGCATTTCCTTGATTCTCCTGCGATTTCTCATTTTTCAACGCCTTTTCTGAGGTGCTCGATAAATTTCGCAGGCTTTTCCGAGCGCTGCAATTTTTTAATTAGTTGTACAATAAAAGCTGAATGGGTAAGAACGCTGAAGCTGTTTTAAACGGTAAAGAAAGAAACTGCAGTTTCTAGTGATGTTTACAGTAAACAGTCTCCAAGATTCGTTGAATCGTGTTTCGATAGTAAATTGATACTGGCATATGCTGGGTATTCAAAACTGTCATCAGCTTGTTTGTAA